GGAATTGTTACAGCTTCAGAGAGAGTGTGGGAGACTACATTTTATCGTTGTAACTCTAGTCGCAAGCTTTTCTGGATAGCAAAAGTAGGCAGGTCACTCTGGAGAAAGTGAATATAACTTGCAGTGCAAAGTGCAATATTCCACTGCCTACAACAATAAACGGTTGAAACAACACATAGGCAGTATACTTCACCGACGGTCATTACTTATTCTAATGTGAATACGTGGAACTCCATTTGTGTTCCCTCAGTTGAGAGAGTGATCTCGCTACTCGGTAGTGACTTACCCTCTCAATTTCTATGCATTCGTTTGGTTTAATCTGTACCATACAGCCATTCTAACCCAACTTCCGTAACTGGTGACTAATGGTAGCAGTCAACTTGATGTGTTGTCCCACTCAAAACTTCTGAATAAGATGCCATCTGCGCCTTCCAATTTTATAGATTACTACTTTAAAACCTCTTTAGAAAGACGTCTTTTTAATAATTTGGCAAGGCTGAAGAGATTTTACGGAAAGATATTAGGAAGAAGCCTAAGTTTTGTCTTCAAAAGGAGTCCTCTTGCATGCTGGCAAACGAATAATTGCAAGGCTGGTGTCCTACAGTTTGGTCAAATGATCCACGACACTAATACAAATGGCCAAAATATGATGTTATTTGAGAGAGAGATGATGTGATGTCAACTTTGGAGAGTGAAAACTAAAATTAAACAATTATAAATTCTGGGGAAAGACCAACTAAAATGAGCATCAGGTGCCTCCAAATGCCCCATCTAGCACGAATGATCTCAGCAACTGGAGGTACAGAAAGTTGTTTCGTCAGTGTGGCAACCCTAATTATGCCACCACTGTTCTTATTCACGAATATTAAGTGCTTAATATTCACGAATATTTACGAATATTAAGTGCTTAAAATTATATTTATCGTGGGAAATACTAAATGCTGTTTTGCTATTTTTCGGCTGCCTATTTTTTATTAATCTAAAGTTTGTTAGCATTTTTGATTTTGATCTTCTCTACCATTGGGAAAAAGAATGAACATATTCTTAAAACCTGGAAGGAGATTGTAGAGAACCTAGGTTGATGCATTAGTGTAAAAAAATACCCATTTTTGTTCAACGGGGGCTGAGCTGCCAAAATACTTTTAGGCATTCTATAATGCTTGGTAGGAAGGAACCAAGGCCTGTGCGGGTATCTATGACCGTTGTCATACCAACAGACCCCAGTGTTTACATAAACTACACTTCAAGTGGAGTTATAAGCCCTAGTTACTCTTATGCATTCGATTCTATTGCTTTTAATGGTGTGTGTAACCTACACCCTGAGATGGAGCTCGAAGAACCCAATTTCCTCTTTGACATAGAACGAAAAGGAAACCTATCCTGAGTATTTCCCTCCTAGAAATAGAGGAAGCAGTACTCATGGGGGAGATGCAAACGACACGCCTTATTTCGAACAACCAATATAAAATGAAACACATTTCGGTTTTATAGGCCAAATTTCTGCTACAATAAGTTACAATCACATAATATGCTTATTTTATAAGACTCTAGTACTTTGGTCGCATTATTTTTCCAATCTGATGGCTCAATTGTTCACCAGTCGGACGTGAGTAACAGTCTCACCAGACGCACAACATGGCCACGGTATCTGAGTTACTTCCGGGAGCATATCCATTTATCTTTCCTTTCAGAGCATGTAGAAGCAACATCTAAAAAATTTCTTTGATAAAGCTTCAGGCCCATTATCCAGCTGAAACTAGTCATTTTAGCGTGCTAAAAACGTAGCCTTCTTATTTATGTACAGAAGAGTTGGGACGTATAGTAAAGAATATAAAGCCGTTACGCCAATGTGGTGATCCAAATGCGGAGACTTGGAAGTTTGCGATTGCTGTAGTACAATTTATTAAACAGGTATGCAGTCCAAACCTCCTCTAAATGCAGCTATAAAAGTGGTCCGACCTTAAATGTTAAGTCGACTGGATGGACCAAAATTAAATAACTCCATTCTATGCACACCGATGGAGAAGTATGTGTTTCAACAGTTGGATAATCATTGTGGTGATGTATTCACCAGCACGCTCCAGACACGTTTCGAATCCAAATCAGTGTCATTGCCTTTAGAAAATCCACGAGTACCTCCAGCATTTGTCAAATACTGATTTCCCAGCTCACTTAACAGAGGAGAAATTAAGACACACCTGAGTAAAGAGATAGTCTTTTCCGCAATGATGTACAACTCCGACACGCAGGTTGTGCGACAAATCGGCATTTCTTACCACCAACTTTTTGAAAATTAATCAACCAATAAGGTCAAAATGAGAGACTATAAGGAGACCGGAAACGTTAGTGAGGTCCTAGGTGTATCCAGATACATTGACATGGTGTAACCTCTTATCAGTACCACTTTTCCATAAATTAAAATGATTATTCCATAAAATTACAGTGGAATCTGTTGCGATTCACGGTTGTCTGCTTTAAAAGTCCAGTTAGAGTAAGTTGCGATGGTGCAGAAGCCAGGTTCTCTCCAAATTCTTTGTTATTGCTGTATTAAGAGAAGATGCATTAGCAAAACATGCCGTGGATATATGGTTCAAACAGCAATGTGATGATGAGGATGCCATGGCGTATCACATTCAGGAAGACCTAAATGACGACACATGATTATAATAGACAACAAGGTGCCACCATTCGCCATTGCTTATTCCCAACTCCGTATTTCCCATTCCTCAATAACCATTCACTACTCACTGCCCGCACGCCAATTGGGGAGTAAGGTAGGTGGATCTCACATACACGCATTAAAAGGTAGTAGACGTTGACAGTAGTCTTTAGAGATGATCAAATTGAACTTCACCCTCTTCACCTCTTTCAAGTACATTGTAAGAGCGAGTCGCGCACGTTGGATGGTTTGTTGACTGCCTAACTGACTCTCTGGACGACCGACCGATCGACCGACTAACCATGATGCAGTATGTAACCCGGATTCCAGGGGTCTGTGGTCTGTGCATAGCGCGAACGCACGTTCCTCAAGGCAGGGAGGTGCTTAACCGCGTGTATGCGTGCGAGGACGCTGGGAGAAGAAAGCTAGTAGTCTAAGTTCACCGTCCACTACTTATTGTAGCACTGCGCCTACAGCTTCCCAATTAGTTAGTCAGGTAAAACTACCTAGTCTGTGGAATTGTTACTATCTGTGCTGAAATTTAACATAACCGAGTGCTCTTTCCACTGCAACCGAGTCTTGTTATATTATGGTGCGAAGCAGAAGTTGTGAATAGATTTTTTCGTAGTTTCTCTAGCTGGCTGTTTTGTTTCTAACTTTTCGTTTACAGCGCTACAAGTGGCTCTTAAGCTCCTCTTAGCGATACTGAAGGATGAATGCGCTTTGAATGCAATCTGTGATAACTGATCCAAGGATCATTAGTTCACTAACAGAAGTGGAATTGATGGTCACCACGACACGAGATGGTGATGAGAATCTGCAAAGACCTTCGACCTCATGTAGTGCAGCTAATTTTGTAGCCAAAACCAGCACATTTCTGTCACATGTCAAGGTTTACTTTAACAATTCACTTTGATTAGAAAAGCTCTTGAGCTTTACCGTAAAAATCTTAGGAAGTTCGTTAAGTTTCTTTCACCTCATCTATCATACAGCTACAAAACTCAATTCCACTTACGCAATGACTGTTGAGAATGCGACGACGCCCTTATCATGTTAGTGAAGTAATAAAGGGTTTGTATCAAAAGCCCTGCCTAATTCCATTTGTGATTTATCGGTGGCACAAATTCAAGGGATGTATCTTAAGGTCTTGTCAATTTGTGGCATTTACAAACTACGTCAAGGCGTATTGTCAGCAGATTGGCTGAGTCTAAACCAACAAAGTGAATGTAGTATGCTCTTAATCTGAATACTGTTGAATCTTTGTGTTAAGGCAGCGCGACTCTAAGTGGAACCCATCCCTTGTGCACTGTGGTGGTGAATTCTCCCCTCTAATCCTCACTCCAAGCCTGTTTATGACATTGCATAAAGTAGTTGTGATAGCTGCCTTGCAAATTCAAATATTGTGAAATGCAGGAAGAAAGAAAGAAAGAAAGAAAGGTAGTACTCCAGGTGGCATAGGTATATCAATATCTCTCTTTAACTAGAGTGAGGAAAGAACTTTCTGAGATGCAAATCAGGAATTAGAGGTGCCACTAAATAGGAGTCGGATTAACGGCCAAAATTGCGACCTAACACGATATTTGTATATGTGATTTTTCTACACTTTTAAAGCCCTATGCCTAATGATATTTATTAATATTCCGTGCTTTTGAAACTTCACTATTATCCAATTGAAAAGGGATCATTTTACATGGGAATAAAAATCAGCCTGTACTTTCGTATGACTCGCTTAGGACTATTCAACATGGAAACAAGTTGAAAAAAGGCCAAGTATATATTCACAAACTAGAAGTGAGTTCACTTCAAGACGTTAATGATGTTCATTGTTAAATTTATTACGTAGAATGGATGACCTCCTAACCATCAAAACGCATTGTATACACCCTTCCTGCTTCAGCATAGCCAAGCGTTTTTCCCTCCGCCTGAGGCTGTAATCAACTGATCCCTTGCCACTGTACCGTGAGCCATTTGTGCCACTAGGCATAGGGCCTTCCCTCCACTAGAGGCTGCAGTGGTCTGATCCGAACTTACGCATCATCCAGTCAGCGAGATTGTTAACTCACTATTTCATAGCCATCTCGGAGAAGAGGAGGTGCAGCGCAGCCCAGCACAACGCAGCAACAAGGTGACTCCCAAATCATCGCCGAAACTTATTGTAGTGCTTCGGTTTCTAATTTGGTCCTCGGTTCATGCCTTGCTGCAACTCGCAGCATTTAGGGCAAAGTGAACCTCTTAGGTAATTTTGGGCTTACTTTACGGGGTAGCCAAATTTGAGCATTCTGGGTTGAAAGACGTTGCTGCTTCATCTTGAGGCAGACAAAAAGGAATAAAAAACGCTTTAAAGATAATCGGCTTAATTTGTACGAAAAAATCATCAGGTGTGGGTAAGAAACCTAGAAATGAGCCCCAACTTCTCCCTAAAATTAACCTCAAAGTTAAGCGAATTTTTTTTCTCGAGTAAACATGTGAAGATTTCCTCGACTTTCCGTTTCTTTCTTTCACATAAGCTGAGATCCACCAGACTCTACAGTGGCATTATTAGAAAGGTATCTGTTTATCTACCGACGATAGACAATGGTTATTAAGAAAGCATTTCAACATTATTCAAGTTTATAGAGAAGGAAAGCCTTTTGCGAAAACAACTTTAAAGGGTGAGTTTTTTGTATTCTCACTGACTTCGGTTCTGGATTAGAAGACAAAAGTAATTATTTTTGTAGCTCATGCATGCATTGTGGCATTAAAAGTTGGGTGAAATGAGTAATAATTCCCTGGGTTCCTCCTTTTCGATTCTTCTTTATGAGTCACAACTGGACGACTTTTAGCAGCAAACAAGCACGTGATTCAGTGGGACGGAACTGTAGAAATTCGTGTGTCGAACTATGCGGGCATTGGGGTCCCAACTCTCCGGTGGTATTTCCACTCAGGCGTGGATGTTCTGCCACCCTACTGTGGCCGAGGGCAACTTCAGAGAAGACTAGGGGCGATCTACATCATAAGGCGACCGAACTGATACAATACACCTCTATATGGTTACATTCTATTTCTGCAATCCAAAAGACTAGCATCACATAGTTTAAGGTCTTAAAACTGAGAATTGCACTAAGTCGAGTCTGTCGACAGATGATAATTTACAGTCAGTGCTTACTCAACTGCAGTGTCTTTTTGCACACGGCAAAGTACAGCACGGTGCACTACATAGCAGCACAGGGTGACATCAAATTTGACGATTAGCGAAGAGTACAATCTAATTTGCCTCCTCATCCTCCTTTCAAACACATCTCTTAATCGCGGCTTGTTCTGTTCCATTGGCAAATTGTCTCGGTTTTGGTGGTTTAACGAAGCCTACACCAGAATACCTCGAGCCACAAAAATACTATTTGCTGTCAATTAATCAGAGTATAATGTTGACTTTTTGACCTGACTATAGATTTTGTAAGGTCAACAGCAAACACTGATTATTTATTAGAGGTGACCTCGAGTGTTGCGGTCGCGTTTTAGCGAGTAAAATGTAAGGTTGTGTTGCAGCAATCAAAAATGCTACACGTTGCATGTCGACAAGTCGCCCAGGTCATCATCGCTTACTTTCGCATTTCAGAATGTAAAACAAGTGACTGACCTCGCTGCTTTTTACTAGAGACGGGTAATCTAAAGTTTTATTCAGTAGCATTTTAGCATTAACTTTATTCCAAATAACTGCAGTTAGAAAATACGAATAATCGCACCACTTCGGTACAAACCATCCGCTATTTCGCAGTTTGCCAGGAGTAAGGGTTTCAATAAGCTCTTGGTGAAGCCGCCAGTTGAGTCATCGTGGGAGGGCTTTAGCTATTAATGTGTCTTTGTCCAAAAATCCGTGATGGAGGGTGCTACCACCTCCAGACCCACTAACGCCTTCGTGAGTGTTACCCACTGAAAGAAAGTGAAGAATAGCCTTTTTTTTCAGCCACTCAATACATTGCTTAAAATTCATTTTACCCAAATCATAGCCTCCTCCAATCAAAACAAGGTGTATCACATGGTTTGGGGATGCTTAACAGAGGTCGAAAATGGTGCGTGAGAAGTGGAGAGGGAGTGTTGCAAAGGTGTTGCAACCGAAGTGAAGGATTGGGTTTTCCAGGTAGTTTTGTGATTGCATCGGAGGATGAGAGACTTATAAAGCCTCAAAACGTTTTGCCTTATTATTCTTCCATTTTGTAAATGGGCATGGTATGGCTACCCGTGACTCAATGCCATTTTTGGACAGGCAAAATTAGGGTTAGGAGGAATACACTGTCGAGTAAATGACATGTATCAAGCTATCAGAAAAAGCATGCTACCATACTTCACCCATTTAAGTCGTCCCAATACCGAAGAGGTGGTAGCGCTTCCCCTCCAAACAGAAATCAATCTTTAAAATCTGCATAGCTGTCCGGAATGCAAGTAACCCATTCTATGTAGACACAAAAAATGGGTGAAAAATATGCGATTTCGGGTGTGCATGAGACCACATCAAATGCGGTGTGGACAAAGTGAGGTTGTAAGGAAATCACAAATTAATTCAAATGAATGCACAGAAACCGGGAAGCAAAAAATACAAAGAATGATTCGAATAGGTGGCAATCAATAGCAAAGCAAATTGTTTTCTGTGTGCACCGTTAAATTCCCGTTTCAGCAGACGGAAGTGTTTGGCAGCAAAATGCGGGCTACATTATCTTTCTCAGTATTCCTATCAAGTAAAAGGTTGCAACAGTCCGAATGGCAATGTTTGTGTGCTGCCTTTATTAGGATACCTACAAATAGATGCAAAGTCTCAAGCCTTCCCTCAAGTTGTAACAATTTC